TTATTATTATTATTGTTGATTTTATTGTTGCATGTATTGAAATATATATTTATTTACTAAAATAATACCCATTTCTTTTTTGAATAAAAAGTTCAGATCAATATTGTTATTTATTATGTAAATAAAACACCAAAAAAACCAAACTGAAATGTATATTTTCTATCTATTATTATCATCATTAACAAATCATTCCATTATTTTTATTTTGATTGAAAAATATAAAAGGATTTTTAATAATTTTCAATCTATACATGATACAAATGTTTGTGTGTATTATTCATTTGTTGTTTTGTTTGTTCATTATTATTTTTGTTTTTTTAATTATTAATAAAAAATNAACCAAACTGAAATGTATATTTTCTATCTATTATTATCATCATTAACAAATCATTCCATTATTTTTATTTTGATTGAAAAATATAAAAGAATTTTATTAATAATTTTCAATCTATACATGATACAAATGTTTGTGTGTATTATTCATTTGTTGTTTTGTTTGTTCATTATTATTTTTGTTTTTTTAATTATTAATAAAAAATTAAAATTTGTAAAAACAAAAAAAAATTATCAAGATGATTATTTATGAAAATTTATGTAATTTGTATTAAATGGTTTTGGAATGGCCAGTAAAAAAAAATGGTCGAATGCAATAAACGATTGGATCGGTAATGATTTTTACAATAGATTTCTTGTGTAACATGTAAAAATTAAATACTTCATGTACTTTTCTTATCTTAATTGGCTATACTTTTCACAACAAATCTTTGTTTGTGTATTATGGAAATAAAAGATGAAAAACAAAAGATTAAATTAAAAATGCATTGCTTTTCTTAATCAGTAGTGATAAATTGTAACTAAGGAGAAATGATTTTTTATCTTCTTTTTTTATTTTATTTTAAAATTTACACACTGCCAAAAAATGGCATTTGTGATCTTCTTAACATCCTAATTCACTATATTCTTTGAAATAATTCTTTCGTTAAATATGAATTTGATGATGATAATTTGTTTATTTTATGATATGAAAAAAAAGTTTCTCAAAATTTCAGAAATTTATTTATCTGATTAAATGGATTTCAATGATCTATTTTAATATTTTTCATCAGGTATGATTGTGATAACAAAAAAAAAAAATTCTAATGCGTAGACAATTGATTTGATTTTGTTTATTAGATAATTAAAAGTGCTAAAGAAAATTTGAGTTTCTTTTGTTAAAAAAAAANACAATTTTTAAATCTCTTTTTTTTCAAATAAGTAGAAGAATTAAAGTGTGATGAACACGAATTTAAGACAATGGATAATAAATGTGATTGTATAGTTCATTTTGAAAGAAAATCGGGAAAATGTGAATCAATATTTGGATATTGCAATCAAACATTTCAGTGCCGAAATAAAAAATTCAAATGTTCAGACAAAACTAAAGGCTACTGCAAACCTAATTGTGGATATTCAACAGATGAAAATTGCGAAATGGGTTGCCAGTCAACTTATGAAGATGAATGTATACCTATTGTTCAATGCGATGATAATTTGAAATGTTATGGTGAACAAGTGTGTTCAAAAGATGGCTTTTTTAAAGGTCAATGTCATTGTCCAGAAGGTAAACCGGATAAAAAGTACTATTGTACACATTCGATAACAACAACATTTGAATCACCTTCAAATGATAAGACGGATTATGAAGATTTCAAAATTTTTAAATATTTTTTGATTGCAATGGTTTCAATAACAATAGCAATGAGTTCGGCACTACCCTGTGTCTTTATAATTAGGGATGTAAAAAAAAGATTGAGAACTCCAGACAACCAACAGAATCCAGGTAATCTTAATTTTATCTTATGTTCAATAAAAAAAAATTCTATTCAACATGGAATTTTATAGGCAAAATATTAAAAACAAATTTAGTTATATAACAAAACAAAAAATTTCATAAACAAAATTGATGACATTGATCAAATTTAATTTTGAAAAATATTTTATTTCTTTCCTAGAAAATAATGGATTTCTTCCACCAACGCACGAAAATCGAGATATAAATGAAAATACACCACAAATTCCAGATTCGGAAACAAATGATGAAACAGAATGTTGATTCACAATAAACAAATAAATCAATCCATCCCAATGTCGATTTATTGCTCATAAAAAGCGAACTAATTTTTTAGATATTTTCATTTTTTATATACTGATTAAATATATGCATTACTAATTGTTCGTCGTTCCTGTATCAAGTACATTGTCATCATTCTTGTCTCAATCGAACAATGTATAGTCAAATATTATGAGTATAAATAAAATGAATTTTTTCTAAAAATCTGATTCTGAATCTTTTCCTATCAATATTTAATTTATCATTGACGCGTTTTATCCCTGATTATTCAGGATTTTAAGAAAACAAATTTCAAAAATTTTCTATATCGACACGAAACGTTCACTGAGGTAGAAAACTGTATAGGCATGCGGCCACCGTTGATTTTATGATGAGCAATACTTGAATAAGTCTGATGTATTTGTTTCGGACACGTTTCTTTGCTACGAGTTTATAATTGTGATAAAATTCTTTTGATGAAATTTCCATTATTTTTTGTATCAACTTCATCCTTTAGATATTATTATAGCGTTCATCATAAATTTCAACTACAATATCATCTTCTAAAACATCAACTACAGTATATTCATTCGAGAAAAATTCATAGATTTTCGACGGTCAGTAACGTTTTTTTAAAGTAATAATGAGAATGTGTTCATTTGCTATAATTTTCGAATTGTAAATAAAGAATTTTAAAATGGCAGCCGAAGTAGAACAAAAAATCAGCAACATGACATTGAATGATTTGAATCCACAACCTGATTTCATTGCTAAACGTTTAGAATTGTGGGAAAAATTTAAAAAACGTTATGAAGCTGAATTGGCCGATAATCAAAGCAAAAGTATTGAAATTACAATCGTTGCTAAGAATAAAGATGGAGAAACAAGAGAAATCAAGGGTAATAGTTGGAAAACGTGTCCGATTGATGTGGCCAAACAGATTTGTCCGAAATCTTTTTGTGATACGTTAGTTATTTCTAAAGTTAATAATGAACTTTGGGATCTCGAACGTCCGCTTGAAGGAAATTGTACTTTAGAATTTTTAACCTTTGATTGTTTTGAAGGTATTAAATTTATTTTTAAAATGAAGAATTTTTTTTCACTATGATTCAATTGTTCCTATAGGAAAACAAGTATTTTGGCATTCGACAGCACATATTTTGGGCGAATCTTTGGAAAGAATTTATGGTGGTCATCTTTGCTATGGACCTCCAATTGAAAATGGTTTCTATTATGATATGTATTCATCAGGCTGTTGTAGCGGTGATACCGATCTTAGTGCTGTCACACAGGCTCACTATCCATCTATCGAGAATTCAATGAAATCTATTTGTAACGAAAAACAACCATTCGAACGTTTAGAATTGACCAAAGACGAATTATTGGAAATGTTCGCCTATAATCAATTTAAAGTTCGTATTTTAAAGGAAAAAGTTAAAGAGCCAAAAACTACCGTTTATCGTTGTGGTAGTCTAATTGATCTTTGTCGTGGACCACATGTAAGACATACCGGATTTGTCAAAGCCTTTAAAGTGACCAAGGTGATTGTTTTAAATTTTATATTTAAAAATGATTTTCATTAATTTTTAAATTGAATCATTAGTCATCATCGTCATATTGGGAAGGTAAAGCTGATGCAGAAGCATTACAACGAGTTTATGGCATTTCTTTTCCGGATTCAAAACAATTAAAAGAATGGCAACGATTTCAAGAAGAAGCCGCTAAACGAGATCATCGAAAAATTGGCCGTGAACAAGGTCTTTTCTTTTTCCATGAACTTAGTCCGGGATCATGTTTTTTTACTCCACGCGGAGCATTCATCTACAATACTTTAATTGATTATTTAAAGGTAATTTTGTGTAATCTAAGAAAAATTGATCACAATATTCATTTATAAAAAATTGATCCATAGAGTGAATATCGTAAACGTGGTTTTCAGGAAGTTGTTTCGCCAAATATTTTCAACATGAAATTATGGCATATTTCTGGTCACGCTGAACATTATGCAGATAATATGTTTCAATTTGAATTGGAGAAAGAAAAATTTGGTCTCAAACCAATGAACTGTCCTGGTCATTGTTTAATATTTGATTCGGATATTCGTTCATGGCGTGATCTACCACTTCGTCTTGCCGATTTTGGTGTATTACATCGTAACGAATTGTCTGGAGCATTAACCGGTTTGACTCGTGTTCGTCGATTTCAACAAGATGATGCCCATATATTCTGTACGATCGATCAGATAAACAAAGAAATAAAGGGCGCATTAGACTTTTTGAATGCTGTTTATTCGCTTTTTGGTTTCACTTTTGATCTTTGCCTATCGACTCGACCTGAAGGTTATCTAGGCGAACTAGCTGTTTGGGACCAAGCCGAAAAAGCTTTGTCCGATGCATTGAACGAATCGGGTTTAAAGTGGAAACTGAATCCCGGTGATGGTGCATTTTATGGCCCTAAAATTGATATCACCATTAATGATGCATTACGTCGACCACATCAATGTGCAACCATTCAATTAGATTTTCAACTACCCATTCGATTCAATCTTAATTATTCGGCTGAAGATGGAACGAAAAAACGTCCGGTTATTATTCATCGAGCAATATTAGGTTCAGTAGAACGATTTATTGCAATTTTAACTGAAAACTTTGCAGGAAAATGGTATTATTATTATTATATTGTTTTTTATATTAAATAATTGTCATTTTTGTTATCCTTCAGGCCATTTTGGTTATCACCCAGACAAGCTATTGTTCTTCCTGTTGGACCAAGTTGTAATGAGTATGCTGAAAAAGTACGACAACAATTACATGATGCTGGATTTCAATCTGCTTGTGAATTAGATCCAGGTTTAACTATTAATAAAAAAGTACGTAATGCACAATTGGCACAATTCAATTTTATTCTGGTGGTCGGTGATAAAGAATCAGCCAACAATACGGTCAATGTTCGTACTCGTGACAATAAAATTCATGGAGAAATTTCTATCACCGATTTGATTGAAAAATTTAAAAATTTCAAATTAGAAAAAACTATAAATGCTGAAGAAATTTTCTAAAAAAAATTATTGAAATCAATAAAAAATTATTATCACAATCATTTTATTATTATTTATTTTTGATTTTTAAAAATCTCAAATTGTTTAATAAACGATTTATATGCACCTGAACATCATATATTCGTTGATTTTTTTTATCCATTAGTTGTCGTCTGGTCGATTGTTGATTATCTTGCATCAATGTAATACGTGGAATTTCATCGGGATTGTTCCAAAATTGAAACAATTCCTTATAACAATCAAGTTGGCGTATTATTTCAAGTGCATTGATAGCTTTGATGCTATCTATTTGTGATAATACTCGCCCCGTTCCTATTCCAATCAATGATTTTATATCTCTGATGACCATTTCTTTGACAGTTTGAAAGAATAATTTATCGATATTATTTTGAGCAATATTCTGAAATGTTAAATTCAAGCTTGATGGGTTTGAAAATCGTTCATTTAGAGATCGTCTGTCGTTCAATTGTAAAAAATTTACATGATCATCATTCCAGATTAATTTTTTTGGTTCGATAGCCACCTGCTGTTCGACATTCGATACTGAAGGTATTTGCTCATTGATTTTATAAATAAATTTTTTTAAGAGTTGATAAAATTTTGAATCTAATGATCTGAATGTAGATGAAGTGATTTTGGTCATGAACAATTGCATCAACTGTTGTGTTATAGATGAATCATGTTGTTCAATGATGGAAGCTAATAATTTTTCCGAATCGTTGCGAATACTTTGATCAATATGGGTACTACCACAGCTAACAAATGTCATAATCATCATCAACGTTGGTGAAAATTGTGATCGATTAGGCCAAGCATTGATTTTTTTAAAATAAATACGTAATGCTTTCAACACTTCCGAACGAACACGGTTATCATCATCAGTAAGATATCGACAGATGATTTGTATTTGTTCACCATCATACAATTGACTATCATCTTGCGAAATTATCTTATTGAATTTGGTTAAATAGATTAATTTGAGCTTAGTATTGATTGAAGAATTTGATAAAAATCTTATCGGATCAATCGATTCGATTGTCGAATTAATTTGGATTTTTTTCGCCTTGATTTCGGGTCTGGCTTCATTAAGATGTTTGGGTAATATTTTTCCGGCTTTCAATTTAATCTTTTGGAAATCACTATTTTTCTTCTTTCTTTTTCTGGCCATTATGCGGAAAAATTTAACATAAAAAATAGATATTTAGAACTGAAATGAAATTCAAAGAAAAAACATCGAATCTAATGATGATAAAATAAATAATATTCGCACATGTGCGTATTTCTTGCTTATCGGCTATTTCGACCCAAAAAGATCACATCAGATCATTTTTGATTTCGAATAAATCATTCGATTTTTGCAATGTCCATTTGATAATCTTAAAATCAAATTAATCTTTTTTTTTATTATTCACTTGTAATATTTGAATAAAATTTTTAATTAAGTGCACTCTTTATTTGGGTGGTATAGAAAAATAGTCATTTTTTTGAATAATCAAAAAAAAAATGAAGAAATTTACAAATAACAACAAGAAAACGAGAAAAAAAAATCAAACAGGATAAAGAAACGAATAAAATGCAAATATACAAATTTTTGCTCTAAAATTTTTTTTTTCATTTGTTACATTGATTATATTGATAGATATGATGATATGGAAAATGAAAATATAACATCAACAAACAAACAAAAAATATTAAATGTATCAAGTATAGATTCAATGTGCAAAAAAAATGCGGGTAAGTTTGTGTGTGTGTGTGTGTGTGTATTGGCAATATATAAAACTAAAATTAAAATTGCAAATCACAAATTCAATGTATAAAAATACGAAAAAATATGGATGGTGTGTGTGTGTGTGTGTGTGTGTTTTGGCTTGAAATGATGTAATTTCAAAGAACAAAAAAAAAAATCAGCAAAAAAATTTTCATATAATATTGGCACTCACCTGAGAGGTGTGTGTGTGTTCTGTGTCTGTATATGTTTTTGTTTCGGCTATAAAAATGTGAAAAAAAAAATTTCAAATCAACGATATGATCCAGAATGATAATTCATTTTCTTCATTTTTGTGATAATGTTAACAAGAAAAAATAGAGTATATTTACACAAACACACTGATAATGGTATAGTATTGCTTTAGGAAACAATGGCTGTAACACCAGAATTTGGTGCCATTGTTGTTTGTGGTGATTGATTTACATTGATCGATTGATTATTACCGACAGCAGTTTGATTTGCTGCTAATTCATCATTACGAACATCGGATTTAAGTTTAACAAATTCTTTGGCAACTTCATCGGTATTTCGTTGTGATAATATTCGTAAAATTGTCCAACCAGTTTCATCCATATGAACACGACGACCTAATGGTAACCAACAATTACAATTACCTTGTTCGGCAATATCAGCTAATTGCAGTATACAAACACCAACTAAACGATCTTCTCTTGCAAAACAATAATCTTTGACTGATATATGAAGTTCGAATGAAGTTGGTTCATCTTCATTACCGATAATACTGTTCATATTATAATAATTATAATAAAGAGAAAAATAATTTTACATTCAAAATAAACGAATCTTATCTTCAATCAAACTTACAAATAAAATGTTTCATTAAATTTTGGTGACCAATTATTATGTTTGGATTTAGTAGCAAATTTTCGTTTCTTATCACTTAAATGTGGTCCAATCATATTAACTTCGACAAACGGTTTGAACATTGTTGTATTTGGCCATTTAAGTTCATTACATGCAACGACTAAATGAAATCCAAAATTATTATGAAATTATCATTACAAATAGAAATTTTCAATACTTACTTTTAACGGTAACTTTGTGTTCACCCGAATTTGGATGCGTAAATAAATCAACCTGTATAGATATTTCACCAACTGGTCCATCTTCTTGTGTAGGTAAATCTTGTTTAGTTTGAGTTGTGACAAATTTTTTAATCAAAGTATCAGTTGTTTGTGTATACATTGATAAGGCATTTCGTAATGATTGTAGATCTGGACTTTTATCCAAAAATGTTTTCTTCAAACCGTTACCATTTGCATGGAAAAATTGTTTCATTGTTTCTAATGAAACATCTAATACGGCACATTGTCGTGGATTTAGATTCTTTTCAAACTGTAATGAAAAATTTATCATAAAATCATTGAAGAAAATCATTGAAAAAAAATACAAACCTCAATAACACCAAGATTAGTTAATCGATTTGCTGATAGATTATTCTTGAATAAACGACCAACATCTTCAATTTTAGCATTCGGTAAACTTTGAAGTATAATATTCTTTTCATTCATCGGTGGCAATACAATTGTCTTTTCTAATGTATTCATTACTAATTTCCATAATTCTTTTAACAAACGTTTGAATACAGTCTTTTCACATGATTGTGCAAATTGTGATAATTTGCCATCCAAAAGATCCATAAGCGGATGTAATATAAGATCAGCATCTGCAGCCACTTCAGGACCACTTTTTAATGCTTGTAATTGTTGTGCTGAATTACCTGAACTTCCTTTTACTTGACTCAATAATTGTCCTAATTCTGCTACACTCTTTTTGATTGTTGGTTCTAAACTTTTACCAAATATAGCACTTAATTCATCAAGATTACTATTCAAAGTAACTTGAAGATCTTTCAATATATCGGCTGCATCTGTTTCAAGTTTTTCACCACCCATCGATTCAAACATTTTTTCCAATTGTACACGTAATTGTTGAATATTGTTCATAAGAACACAAGCCTTAAATATTCAGGAAAAAAATAAGCGTTTTTATAAAAAAAATAAATTATCAACAAAAAGTAACTTACAATTTTTTCATTTTTACAATTATTAGTTGCAAAATCTCTTTTGACAATATTAACATAGGCAGTTAAAACTTTAACAATTGTTTTAGCAAAACGTTTCATATAACGTTTTACAATTTCCGGATCTGGACATTCAAGTTTTTGTATAACATCAAAACATTGTGTTAATTGTGTAAAAACATCGACAACCGAATTTGAAAATAATGAATGTTCCGAACTATGTTGAAACTATGTTTTCATTCAAAAATAATTACAAACAAAAAAAAACATATACAATTAATGTGAAACTGTCACATAACTTATTTTAAACAAAATACATACACCATCTTTTTTATCACGCATATAGGCACCATTAACATATTCAAGTGAAACATCATCATTTTCATTTAACCATTGCATAACGAATGGTTCAAACCAACTAAAATAAAATAGAATTGGAATTTACGTTTAGTTTTATAAGATTTCGTATAACTTACGCTGGATAACCGGGTACAACATCTTTGAATTGAGGTATATCACGACAATATGTATTATAAAACCATTTACATTTAAAATGTAAATTCATATATGCTGAACTTAAACAAAGACGATGTTGTTCATGTTCTTCTAATGCAAATTTCATATCACTTGAAAAAAATGTCCACATTGATGCAGCGCTTAAATGTCCAATATTAAATTCTTGTGGAAATCTATCATGGAAAAAAATTTTTTATTAATTATATTTTATCTTAATGATTTTTTTAAAAAAAAGACAACTTACTGATTCAATACAGGTGAATAGCTATTTTTATCTTCTTCAATTACCGATACCATTAATGCAACTAATTTATGCCAAAAATCTAGATTATGTAAACTAGGTCCAGCATCATCTTGTGGATTTTCTTGTTTTTTATCCGTTGGTTCAGTTTGAAATTCTGTACCATAAAGATTTGTACAATTTTCAAATAAAAATTGATACGTTGATCGAAGGCATGCTTTGGCACAATCTTTAACAACTTGACTGGCACGTGGTGGGCTAGATAATTCTTGAACTTTCATACGAAAAAATGTTATACTTGTTAATAAATCAACAGTAGATTTTAAATCTTGTAAACGTTCAGGTGATGAAGCGGGAAAATTATTCTGTATGGTGTGTATGAAAACAAAACAAAAAATCATTACACACAAATTACTAATTCATCATCGATACTTACTCTATACATTGATAAATCTATTCGTAATGAATTATGTAGCTGATCTAATAGTTTAATGAATTTCTCTTTCTGTGAACAAAACAAAAAAAAAATCAAAATATAAAAATCGAAATACAAAAACTTTCAAACATCAACAAATAATTACTCCGAAATTGGAAGCTGCAAAACGATCACTAGCCGATACATTTGATGATGCTGAAGTATGGGCATAATAGGCATTTATATTTGCCAATAATGTGCTCATAACTGCCGGTACACCTTGACAAAGATATTTAGTTGATAAACAATGAAAATGTCTATATGGTAATTGAACAAAAAATTATCATTTAAAATTAGTGATTGGAAAAAAAATCAATAAATTACGTCATCGCCTGATATATCGATTCGATTCCATATCGCATAGCAAATTCATCCACAATTTCTCGAGCCGGATAATCAAAATAAACTTTCCATGCATCATCCTTTTTTTGTTGTAATTATGATATTTTTGCAATTAAAGTTTTATCTTTTTTTTTGTAATTTCATTTATACTTACGCCTTTATAGTCTGGAAGTTTAACGGAACCACTATGGACGGTTTCACACAAATAATGGAAGAGATTCTATACATTGGACAGAAAAACAAAATGATTGAATTTTTTTTCGAAATTAAGACATGATAATTTTTTTTTGATTTTCGAAACTAACTTCATGTAGGCAAGTATATTGTACATGATATGGTGCAACTTTTTCTTCGCCTTTAATTTCAACACTAATATGTAAACGTATAGCACCAGAAACTGCAGATTTATCAGTTCGTTTTTCCAAATTATACCATACATCCATTTCACCGCTTAATGTTCGAACTTCGATAATTGTTTGTCCAAGAAAATCATCCGATTCACGTGTTAATTTTTGTCTAAGTTTTGATTTTAGATCATTATCTTCATCCCAAACACGAACTTTAATTCTATCACTTGAATTATGACATTCAAAATAGAATTTTTCATTCCAAACAGGATTTAAATCTTGCGGTACTGTTCGTGTACGTTTTTTAACTTTTCCAACCTGTGTTGTTACATATGGATCACTAGTTCCACTTTTATCTTTAGCTATTAAACCTTGTGCACAAATCACTATTGAGTGATGCAAAAAAATTGGCCAAAAAAAATGGTTAATCGAATTGAATCAGAATGAAATGATTTGGGAGAGAGAGAGAAGGAGAAGAATCGAAAACATTTATGGATAGAAAAAAAAGGAAGGAAGTGTAAAATATCAATTGATTGAATTAATGAATAATGGATCCAGGATATAAAGGTTTAGGTTAATACATGCCTGTGATGGTGATTTTGGCCGACCAGTTACTGTCAAGCATCACCTGTTCGGCTTTTTGCATTTCTTCAATATGTAATGCAGAATTAACAGCAAAAACGTCTCTGATTATTTTTTATTTTTTTAATTGTTTAGTATTTTTTTCAAGGAATTTTTAGATTTTGTTTTGTTTTGTTTTTTTCGTTAGTAAAGTAGTAGAATAGGACGGGAAATGAAAGTAAATTATTCATCATTATTCAATTCAGGGAGGCAACAATAAACGAGCGAACCAAAAGAATTGAAATATAGCCAACAACAACAACAAAAAAAAAGATAGACAGGAAAAGAGAAGAAGTCAGTTAATAAATAGATTATCAGATCAATAATAATTAAAATTTTAAAACAAAAAAAAAATGCGACTAATAAACTAATTAAATTAATGATAATAACAGCCAACAAAACAACAAGTGAATCTATAGTGATTATCAACAGTAAGTAACACGCACACAAAATTGTAATTTTGGTGACAAAAAAAAAGAGTGCATAAAATCAATTCAATTCAATTTTTTTTTGTGGTTAAAAAAGATTCAACATTTGTTAATTCAGTGTATTAAGTGCTTTAATTTTTCATTTCGTAATGAAAAAATCTATTTACAGAATGCAAGATTAAGTGAGTGAATAGATCATCCGTTTCATTGATTTTGATTGTGTTAATTGATTGAAACGTGATGGAATGGGATGAGTAAATGAATTTCAAGATAAAGGATGGATTTATTTGATTGGGAATTATATACACTATAAAATGATTGTGAATCATTTGATAGCGGATAAATCATCAATTCGGGAATATTCGGGTTAATCTAGGGACCTACCAGTAATGGCAATTTTAGCTGACCATTTAGATGTGCCATCAAGAACGCTTTGTTTGACGGCTTTCATATGTCCAGAGTGGCTTTTTTGATCCACACCGAACACGTCCCTGTTTGTTTGTTACATAATAATTTCAAACAATAATAATTAACAATTTATGATCATTTTCAGTCTGGTTTTGGTATTTTACAGTATCAGAAAAAAAATTTTTCAATAAATCATAAAAATGATAATGAAGACTATGAAGACATGGGTAAAATTCTAATCAGAAATTTTTGAAACAAGAATTTCTATTTCTATTTACTATTTTTTTTTTGTACAATTTAGTGATTGAATTTAAATCTCACTCAAACTCACTACGCTAAAGCAGTAACAACAACCAAATGAAAAAAACGAATTCTACATATAAGCAATATCTATCGAATTTATATTTGAAAATAAGAATTTAAACCTTATCATTTCGAATATTTCTGGTTTTTCTCGTTCACGAATTTTCATTCGTTCTTTCATTGCCATTATAATGTTATTTGCTTTATCTTCGGCACCATGTTTTGAACTTTTTTCAGCAGCACCTTTTCAAAAATGATTTTAATTAAATTGGTGTTTAAATTATGAGAAAAAAAACCGTAACATACGTTGTAGACAATCAGCATTGAGTAAATCTTTACATTTTTCATGACATTTTACACCACATTCAGTACATCGTACACCTTGACGAGCAATACCCCATAATAAACCTTCACATTCATAACAATATGTTGGACTTGTTGCTGTCCAAAGTTGAAAATTATGTGGTGTTGTACTGGAAATCGGATAAATCAATGCCTGTAATGTTTTCTTGTAGACATGTGTTTTCTGAATGAAAAAAATATTCCCAATACAAAAAAGATTCGTAAATTAGAAAAAAATTTCCGTTTTTTAATTCTAAATTTACCAATTCTTCATCGTTTAACGATGCACGTGGGATGGCTGATGTTAAACCAGCATTTCTTTTGTTGGCAGCCATTGTCTTTTGACGATGAAATCAAATGATTAAATGATTAAAAGGTTTTCATCAAAAAACCAAAAAAATAAAAAAACATACCTTCAAAACTAATTCACTGACTAATGGAATAGATTTTTTGCGTGGTCGTATGTCAGGCATTGCATCGATTCCACTGAAAAATGGATTATCACCACTATGATCATTGAATAAGATAGCAAATGAAATGAATTGCGAAATGAATCAATAGAATATTCTATTTATAAAAATTTACCCAATTCTGAAGCCAAGACTTTTGAAAATATCGCTTACTTCAGGTCTTCCACCACCCTATTGAATTCAATCGAAAATATTATTCGGTAAAACAAATCATCAGATATAACAAACCTCATTAAGATGAGAATTAATCTTATTAAATGCATTGATCCAACGTGCACGTGCTTTGGACATTCCTTCAGTACTTGTAGGTACAATTAATGGACCATCAAACATGCTAGTCATTCTTGGTGGACTTTTTCTACCAACTTCTTCGGAAAATGTAACACTTTTTGCTGCAGATGGTTCATTTTTTATTGAACCATGTAAATCGATCAAACCACCACCACCATTATCAACCATCTGTTGTTCATCATTATTGACAAGAGAAGATTCAATGCCAGCAAATGGACTTGAATCATTAATGGCATTACTGACAATTGATGTGACAGAAGTTTGATTATCATTCAATTCGCCTAATTCTTTTAGTTCAGATTCTGTCAATTGTGTTGCATACGGATCAATCATATCCGATTGATTAGTATTTTTGATCGTTTTATCATTATTGTTTAAGGCAGTTGTTGTATTGATTAATTCATTACTACTATTACTAATAACAATGGATGGTGTTGTAAAATCTATTGTCGATTTTGGTATTTGTATTGAATCATCTAATTGTTTATTTGCTGATTGAATACTATTCTGTTTGAGCTGATTATCAAAATTATTAACAAAAGGTGAATCATGTATAAAATGATTTTGGTCATTTTGTTGTTTTTGTTGAACATTGTTATACCAATTATTATTATTATTATTATCTGTCATTCCTTGAACATTTTGGTCATCAATTCCTAATTGTGTTTGTTGATTATTTTGTTTATTATCTAATTCCATTGTTTCGAATTGAGCTTGTCGTCTTGACCAATTCTCTTCAAATTGTTGATCAAGGAAATCCTGTTCACTTTGCCAATCACTATTACCATCACAATTAACAATATCACTGGAAAGGGTGTCTTGAGAAATAATTTTTTTCGGACTAGTATGATCAGATTGCTGTTGTTGTTGCTGCTGTGACAACGATAATGGCGGAAATTCAATTGTTGCTGATGACGATGTTGGTTGTTGTTGTTGTTTTTGTTGTTGTTCGAAACCAATATTCTGATGATGATCAAGGACATGAACCGGATATGCATTAGTGATCTTTTGATCATTGACAACATGTTGTTGTTGTTCAGCATGAATTTCATTATTCATAATAGTCTTTGTATCCTGTTCTAAATTTAATATCGGAATGTCATTCATTACCGTCATCATGGCATCATTATTATTCAAAATAGATTGTGGAGGAATAGGCGATTGTTGTTGTTGTTGTTGTTGTTGTTGCCGTTGCTGTTGATTATTATTATTATTTGCATTTGGTGCCGGCGGAACGATGATTACCGGTTGAAACAAATTACCCGTTTGATTATTATTATTCTGAACAAAATTGGTTGCATTCGAAACAGTATTAAAACTTCCGTTAACAATAACAGGAGTAGCAGCTTTATTCATTGAATCATGGATTAACATTTTATTTTGTTGTTGTTGTTGTTGTTGTTGTTGAATGACAGATTTTCTTCTCTGTTCAGCAATATGTTCATCATTTTGCTCTAGGGCACCTTGTCGTTCTAAACTTGGTTTACGTATTGCTTTTCGTCGTTGTTTAAGTCGATATGAAGATGGATCTGGTTGTTCAAAAATATCTGTTGATGTTTTTTGAAATGTTTCATCATTCAATTGTTGATGAGAATGTAGATGATTATCTAAATTTTTATTTCCTGACATAATCTGTTGTTGTTGTTGCGATTGATGTGATAATTGATTCGTGACTGTATTATTCGAAATGAATAACGGTGGCTGTTGTTGTTGTTGTTGTAGATTATCTTGTTTAAAAATTTGTTGTTGATTTTGATGAGAAAAATTCATATCTCGAAATTCATTTGGCTGTTGGTTTTGTTGTTGTTGTTGTTGTAAATGATATTGCTGTATAGTTGTTATTTGTTCTTGTGTTAGATTAATTTGTTTTGGAAATTGTAGACTTTTACTTAATGGTATTTGTGGCATTTTACGTCTATTATTTATATTATTAAAATAGAAATTTGATCGACAAGAAGAAATTTTTTATTTTCAATCAAATCAATTGATTCAAATTGCTAAAGTTCACAAATACTTACCCTTCTTTATTTTTTGCATTAATATTTCCGCTACTATTATTATTGTTAATAATATTATTGACATTGATTTGAGGCAATACACGACGAGGACGGCTATTGTAATAAAGTGAATCCTGAAATCCAAATCCTGATCCGTCTTCTTGTGATGATGGTTGTTGAGACTGAAGATTGCTATGACTATTTACATTAACAATACCAATGTTTTTATTCTGACAAATTTTTTTCTGATATTGACTTCGGATAGCATCGATATCGGTACAGCCACCAAATGGTAATTCACGTTTTGGTCTTGAATGATGAAAAGAATGTGCCACTGGAACTATTTGATCATCATCATCATCATCATCAATATCATTCAATGGTTCAATAAAATTCTGTTCACCATCATCATTATCATCATAATCAACATTGTTATCAATATCATCTTTATTTTTTTCATTATTATCATTGTCAAGGATATTTTGTTCTTGTATAGTACTTGGACTATCAATAAATTGTTGTTGATTGTGATTAGAATGATAGGAAACACAACCATATTGTTGTTGTTGTTGAATGGTATTTGATTGATCTATATCGATTTTATTATTCGTAATAGAGGCCATTGTGATATTATTATTATCATTCACATGACTAGTACTATTATTATTATTATTTTGTTGATTATTAATATTATTTTTAAAATTTTTTGATATCGTTTCGAATTGTGATGAGGACGAATTTGCTTGATGATATGATCCATATTGATTCTGTTGATTTGGAAAGCTAATATCACTTGTATAATCGCTATCTTCCGAAAGACCGGCTTGAATATTAATAATGATAACAATAAAAAAGGTATAAGAATTTCACGATTGACAACAATGAAAAAAAATTATTATCATTTCATCAAACTGAAAAGAATTTTATTGACATTGAACAAGGAAATTTTTTCTTTTTTTTACAAATTTACAATGAAAACAAACAAATAAAAAAACTGAACAAAACTTACAATAAAGTTGATGACCATGAAAATGGGAATCCTTATCAATGTTATAGGCACAAACTTGTTCAACTTGTCCACCACCAATGGTTGTTTGTTCCAATTGTCCAATATTGACATAATTTAGATTCCTATTAAATTCATTTACATTGTCCAATTGGGTTTCTAAAATAAAAAGGAAAAGAAAACAAAAAAATATTGTGAAATGTAATTCATTATCCATTTGTGTTAAATAAAGCATGATGATGATGTCAATCTATAGCTAATCAATTAACGACTGTGAACAAACAAAAAGATATATAACGAAATCAATGTTTACCATATACAGGCTCAAAATGTGTTTCAATCAGTAAAAAATTTCCCGTTGAATTACATGTACCAAGTATTTCATCATTCAATACACGAAGATCTGCATCGATTGATTGCCATTGACCACCGGAAGCCTTTGTAATATATGAACAGAAATATAATTAATGAAAAACAATGGCGAAAAAAAAAGAAATTTTCTCATGAAAAAATATAACCCAAAAAAAATTGCATACTTGTTCTAAAAAAGGAACATCATTCAAAGGCACACAAATATAACCGATAATTTTATCCCATAATATTCCTTTATTCCATAGCTCGATTATTAGATTTGTATCCAGTCTACTTGTTTCGCTATTTTTTGTTGTTGTTGTTGTTATATTTTCATTGTTAAAATTAAAATATTTTTCGATTATTTTCAATTTCAATTTATGAATAAATTTTTTTTTATACATACAAAATAAAATCCTGTTCCCAACAGGGATTACATCCTTTGACGGCAACCGTTGTCGATTTAACATTTTCAAGTTTTACGGCCACATACGTTGTAAATTCCGCTTTTTTTTTGTTACAGAAAAAAAAATTGACGTAAAAAAGAAATTTTTTTTTTATTAAATTCAATATTTGAAACAGAAAAAAAAAATAATAAAACAGACGCAAAATGATTGTATCTAAGTAAATTTTTTGTTGATGATGATTTCAAACGACATTTGTTTTTTTTTCTTTCAATGAAACTTTAGAATGGAATTTATTGTATTCAAACACTTTAGAAATATGATCTGAAATCAAATTCTTTGGAAAAAAATGTCGTCATCCAAAATCAAAAATCAACAATGGAACTCGAGATAAAATCTATGTATTCTACTATCATTGATCGATAATGAAATTTTTGAAGAAGATAAAAAAAAATACGATAATAAATATTGATATCACAAAATTGAAAATGTCAAACATAAATTGAACCTGATTAAATTTGAGTAGAGATTACAGCAAAAAAAAACAAAAGATATTTATTTATCGATTTTAATAATGATGAAATTATATTTATTTAAATGACAACAATCAATGACAAACTAGAAACTCAATAAAATAAAATAAAACCAACAAATACAATGGTAGTAAAGGATTATCGAACCGAAAAGCATGAAAACTACTACTTAAAAAAATTTATTATTTGTTGAATGTTTTTCCGTACGGTTTGATCGATAAATTATTTTTGGATAAAGTAACAGATAAAGAGAGAATGGGAGATAAAAGATAGAAAGATCAGTGAATTAAATTTGAAATCAATATTATGATATTTTTTGTTTATTATGAATCGTTGATATAAAAATAGATAAAAAAAACTGTATTTGATTTTGAGAAAAAAAAATGAATGTCATTTCATAGGAAATGAGTACGGCGAAAAAAAAAGTTAAATTGTCAGATAAATAAATAAATATTTTTTTTTTTTGCCAAACCAAACCGAGAATAATGATGTCAATAAAAAAACAAATATTTGTTTTTGTTTTCATTTTCAATGCAAAAAAATAACAATATAATTCTATGGATTGTTTTTCATTTTTTCAATTTTTTTTTGTTTTGTTTTGTTTTTTTTTGATGCATTAAACAAAAATTGATTTATGATTTCAATGGGAAAAAATAATAATAATGTTGAAACATACCGGTTACCGAAAGTAGATAAGTTGACATGATGATGATGATGANTACCATCATTTCCTAATAGCTTGGCTTTTCGTACTTTTGATGATGAATTTTTTTATTTATTTATTTGTTGAATGTGTTTCCATACGGTTTGATCGATAAATTATTTTAGGATAAAGTAACAGATAAAGAGAGAATGGGAGATAAAAGATAGAAAGATCAGAGAATTAAATTTGAAATCAATATTATGATATTTTATCATGAATTGTTGATATAAAAATAGATAAAAATTGTATTTGATTTTGAGAAAAAAAATGAATGTCATTTCATAGGAAATGAGTACGGAGAAAAAAAAGTTAAATTGTCAGATAAATAAGTAAATATATTTTTTTTTTTGCCAAACCAAACCAAGAATAATGATGTCAATACAAAAATAAATATTTGTTTTTGTTTTCATTTTCAATGTGAAAAATAACAATATAATTCTAGGGATTGTTTTTCATTTTTGTTTTTGTTTTTCAATTTTTTTTTTGTTTTTAAACAAAAATTGATTTATGATTTCAATGGAAAAAAAATGATAATAATAATAATGTTGAAACATACCGGTTACCGAAAGTAGATAAGTTGACATGATGATGATGATGATGATGAGGATAATAGTGATTGTGAAGATAATTTTAAAAATAATGGTAGTGATGAAATTGTAACAAAATTTGATTCAATAGAATCTTTTAAGAATTTTTTTCGATTAATTATCGAATGTGATTGAAAAATATTATTTAAAAAATAGGTTGTTATCGTATTGATAAAAATGATGAAGGTGGTAATAGCGTTGATAATGGTCGATATTGTTACGACAATTGTCACAAAGTGAATGGACATTTTTTTTTATTTTCATTAAAAAATGAATCTATTGATACCAATGAGGATGATAATGGTGATTATTATTTGGAAGAAAATGATGATGATGATGATGATGTAATTCAAGGAAATTGTATGAATACATTTTTTTCATCATATATTTTCGATAATGACCTTAATCTCATTTGATTTTCATTACCTCGTTTTATTTACCACCATCATTATCGTCCACATCATCATCATCGATCACCACAAATGGTGTCGATAGATGAAATCATTGATCAGCATGAGACTAATGTAATGTTAATGTTAATTTTTTTCAATGCAAATATTGTTGTTGATATTCAAAACATCAAATGGTAATTGTCGATCAAAGATTTAAATTAAAACAAAAAAAAACAAGAACAAGTCAATCCAATAAAGAATGGTACACAAAACAAAAACAAAAAAATGTCAGATCATCATTAAATCATAAACACATTTCGTAAAATTTGAAGAAAACAACTTTGAATGAATAAAATATCGATGAACATGAGGTTAATTTTTTTTTATTTTTTAATTTTTGCTTTTGAAGAAAACAAATAAATTACTTTTCCGGTTCACATACAGACACACATTAACAGATTAAACATAATAAATTATCCATTGATCATTGATCGGTTTATTTGTTTGTCTGTGTGTGTGTGTTTTGGTGTTTGTATATCATTTGATCAATCGATTAATAAAGAATCTTCTGTATTGAATACATAAGTCAGACATAAATGGTATTTAATGTTGATAGTGATTTTTCTAATGAATTAAAAAAAGAACGATAACTTTGATGTATATGTGTGTGTGTGTTTGCATGATATTATTATCTCACACACACACATTTTACTCAATTCTATTCGATATTCAATAAAATATAAGGATCCATCCCAAAAAACCAAAAAAAAATGAGAAAAATAGTTTTTGCTTTTATTTCTTAACATGAATGACATATATACACACATTCAGACATTCAGACGATAGATTCTATAGGTAGTATTTTTCTCGTTTTCTCATAGAGAATCGTGATGATAAAAAAACACTGCCCTTCTATTATTGATAAAATATTATATGACGATTTTTATTTCGTTGTAGAAGTGGTCCAATTTGTTTATATATAATGTTTAAAGGTATACATTGGAGCCGACTCTGGAATTTTTTTTCCTTCTGTCCATATTCTGGCCATTTGATAAAAATATAGCAACCATAATTCAGGATCGAATTGTCATCATGCGCGTTCGATGAAATCAAGAGGAAAAAGAACAAACAAACCAAAAAAACCAACACTATACAATCATGTTGTAACGGTTTTGGTTTAGATACATTTTCGGTCAAACCTATGGAAGAAAGAGGTCATAAAGAAATTAACTACAGGAATCTTATAGTTTGTCATATCTGTTCAAAAACAAGACAAACAAACAGAAACAGAAACAGAAAAAATGCCATTGCATGTATAATAAATGCAGAAAATTCATTAAAGAAAGATCATCATTTTCATCATCATCATCATCATTGCTTTTTGTTTGTTGTCGTCAATGAAACAAACACGCGTATCATTGTTTTCAATCAGCAAACCGATTAGTAACCAAAAAAAAGCCAAAAGCCAAAAACAAGATTTCATCATTATTATCATCAAGTTATATTAAAGAATAAATAAAATCATCATCATTAGTCATTTAGGATTTTATCGTTATAATCATATATTTTCAGCAAGGTTCCATTTTTTTCCCATTAAATATATGAATGATAATCAATAGATTATAAATATAGAAATGATATAATAATTTTCAACATTCCTGAAAATTTGTAGATAAACATTGAATATTTTCTTTTTATAAATGTCTAGGTAATATTTTTTATTTTTCTTTTTGGAATAAAACACGTTTGACGCCATTCGAAAATCATTTTCAGACAATAAAGATATTATAATAATCAGCTTTTATTAATCATTGAAAATGAAAAAAAAAATAATTATAATGATTTTTTCTTTACTGGTCTTTCTATATGGTAAATGTATTTATATTTTGGAAATGAATGTTACAAAAAAAAAAGTGATGAAATCATTAATTTTTCACAAATATGTTTGTTGTTGTCGTTGTTGTATAAATAGTTCCGGTAAATTATGATGACGACGATGATGATGAATGAAATAAACAGCTGCTATATGGAAATTATTTAAATAATAATCAAATTTTTTTACCCAAGTTTTCTAGTTCCAAATATTTACACACATGAACGCACACACAAAAAAAATAAAAATAAAATGAAAACATGATTGCGTATGTGTTTAGTTAGAATCTATTGATTCTATACTTGAAAAAAATGCGATTTCCAATGAAAACCTTGTCATTGTTTGAGAATTTTAGTTTCAACATCCGGTTGAAGTTGTTGATCAACGTTCGCTATACCACTGTTAAAATACAAAATTAAAAAAAAAAATTAATAAATTCTAAGCATTTGGCTTACATTAATGTATCCATGTTCGTTTAGATGTAATGCCTGATATTGATCGTTTAATAATATTTGCGAGAATTGATTATGCATTTGTATGGCTTCAGCCTGTTTAGCACTACCCGAATCATAAAGATCTTTTAGTAATGCTGTTGCCCATAATTGAACCTGTGTATCTGGAATTTTACTGGCCAATTGCATAGCTGGTGTTACCATGTTCAAACTTTCACGACTATTTGAGATGAAAGTATAAACAATAAATACAAATAAAGTCAATTCAAAATTAGTTTTTACAAATAATTTATCTCTTACCTATTTCCCAATGAATAGAAAATGTGTCCAAGTAAAACCAATGAACATGATGTTAAACGATTAAGATCTTCACCATTGGCCATTTTCAATGTTTCACGTAAATATCGTCTATATTAACGAGAAAGATTTTATTGGCTATCAATTTTTTTTCTACTAAAATCATAAAATACATACTTAGCATCATTATAACGGGCTTGAAAATACGAATTTAAACCAAAAACATAATAAGCGGCTGCTTTTAAACTTTGTGAACTATTCAAGATAATTTATATTCAAAAACATTTAAAATAAAGTAAAAGATTAAAATAAGATTAAATATTTGAACAAACTTTGAATGAAGTGATTCAGGATTCAAATTGACCAACAATTCATTTAATTCATTTTCACGTTTATTACGTAAGTAGACAATTGCCAAATTCAGGCTAGTCAATATTCTCGCTTCGTTTGATGCACCATGTAACTGTTTGTGTTTGAAGAGTGAAAGTAAAAAAAATGCATTATCAATCATTTTATTTTTTTTGCTTTTTCACAAATAAAAAAAAATCGAAACGATGCATACCGTTAATGAAAGTCTTAATTGACTTTCAGCACAATCAGTTATGTTCATTGACATGGAATACATTCCCAATAATGAATGTATTAATGGCTCATGTCGAAATTTTAATTTTGGATCTCTATAGCATATATTCAACGCTTGAACAATCTATCAATGAATTATTTTAATTATTTAGAATTTGTTAAAGTTTAAAAGATAGTAAAGAAAATTACTTCTTTGATTGCTAAGGTTCTGTTGCCCATAACTAAACGGCACATGGCTATATGTTCTAATAAAATCAATTGAAATGTATTCAACATTTGATGATTACCAACGCCTAAATTAAATAAACAAAATAAATTAGAATTTTAGATATTTAGATATTGTGTAATGATAATGGAAATAAATGATCAATACATACTTCGTAATTTATCGATTTGCATCAATGCTTTTTCAGTATATTTTTGTGCCTTTTCCATATAACCCGATTGCATTGAATGTAATACGGTGACCAGATATACCAAAACGCACATATGTTCTTTGGGCATCCAAATAAATGTATCATTTGAATTTAGACTCATGTATTCTATAATAACCATTAACATTGAAAAATGAGAACAGAAAAAATGAAAAAATTCATTTTTTTCCACAAAAGAATTTAAATTATGAATGAATACAAAACTGAAAAATAAAAAAAATAACACAAAACATTACCGTCATCAAGATGGAATGATGTGGCCGTTATATTCTGAATACTTTGTTGTAATAATTTTAAACTTGGCCGTACACTTTTTACTTGGCCGGCATTCAAATGATGACATACTTGTAGTACTAAAAAGAATACTTTTAATGCTTCTTTTAAATGAACATTTCCTTGCCAAGATTCAACTAATTGGCCGGCAAGATTTAGAACAGGATGTACTTCATTGATACGTTTATCAATCATTAATACCATTCCACGACTTAATAGAAAAAGTATTCGTGTATAATGAGCACCGGATATATTAGCATATTCTGCACCAATATTCAATACATTTGCTGCTTCATTATATTCTTGATCATTGGCATGAATTTGCTGAGAATTTGTTCGATATTATTATTTTCTGTAAAATTTAATTCATATTATGTAATGTATACTTACCGCTAATTGAAATAAAAGTTTAATGTGCCAATAAATTGAATGACAAGATTTTTCTACACCTTTTCGTAAAATTTCTTTGGCACCAGGAGTATGAGTCTAATAAAATTAACAAACAAAAAAATGTTGAGAAACAGTACAATGCATTACATCATATTTATTATTACCAATTTTTCATAGATGCGAGCAAGTAAAGATATCGATTCATAAATAATATCTTCACAATTGGCAATTGTTTCTGCTTGACCCCACTACGATGATTGGATAGTTATTATTATTGTAGATGGAAAATCAAAATAGACAAAACAAAACAAAACTTACAGCTTTTTTAAGATGAACTTTGGCCAATTCAAGATTATTTGAATGTTCCAACAATAATGAACCGATTTGTAGATGTGTTTTAGCTTCGATTGCTGGATATGGAACACGTAAATTGATAATGGCCGTTAAACATTGTACACAATTTCGAATATCGGGTGGTTTTTGTGTACGAAATTCTTCGGCCAACGAAACAAGAGTAAGGTAGGCATTTTCTGGATTATAGCTATTCATCATTCATTTAGTTGTTAATTTTATTTTAATTATTAGATAAAAATCAGAAGGAAAAGGCCATAATAATGAACAAATGTTTTGAAATCTTTGAATTTCATTAATGACAGAAGCCAAAAAAATAATAAAATAAAAACAAAATGTTTTATTTTGGCATTTTTTTTTCGTGGACAATGGAGCGATTCCGTTCATATACAACGTATTCGAAATATTTTACGAGCTAAAAAATTTTAAAAATCTATTCCCGCCATTGTTTTGAAAACAAAACAGTGAAAAAAACTGTTATTTTGTTAAAAACTGTTAAATTTGATATTGAAGATATTACATTTTTCTTTATCAAAAATCCAAACGACAATCATATTGGATTCAAAATCATTAAAAGATAAAAATTTGAATGAAATTTTATTTAATCTCGATTTTTCCGACATTGCATCAAAATTACAAGAAACAAAATTTTGTTTTTTTTGAATAATCGTTGAATGTAAAACTCCAGAAGCTTCGAAACGATGTGAAAAAAGGATGAAGATAAATAATTTTGTTTCCATCGTAATCTTATCCAAAAAACAGAAAAATTCATAACAACTAATACCAATACTAGAGGCCACTATTATCATCAGAAAAAAGAAAACCATCACCATTATCATCGGGCGAACGAACGATCAAACAAACAAACAAGATAACCAGATCTATTTCAATATATTGATTATCATTAGACATTGAATTGAATTGAGTTGATCATCAAAACCGGACCATGATCGGATCGACCTTTTTTCCCTCCTTCGACATGTTCATCACCATCATCATCATTATCGTCGTCGTCGAACAGCTGCCGTAATGTTATTTTTTTTCAATTGCAGTATTTAAGTGAATGGTATAGTGGGTGGTGTTTTTTATATTTCGAATGAAGAAGAAAACAAGCATGAAAAAAAAGGCTGATCATTTATGCAACACACACACACACATAGAGATTGGTAAGCAAACAAGCAAAGAAAATGGTTTCTTCGTAAACAAAAAATGAAGATAAACGAAACAGCCCCGTATTTGCAAATCAAAAATGAAAATTATCAACATTCAGTTTGTGTTTGAATGTTTCGCGATGTAGTTGATGGTCAATCAAAGTTTGCTTTTTCTGTGATTTCTTCCTGAATATTTTTTTTGTGCCTTAAAAAACTTGACAAATTCATGATTCGAATGAATTTGAATTGAATCAAAATAATAAGAATTTATTTTTTTGTGAAAAAAAAAGAAAATGAAGAATCAAATCATTCATAATGTTGTTTATAATCATCAACAAAGATTATAAAAATTTTAATTCAAATCAACAACTACGACATAGGCTATGTAATATAGCCATGTATACAATATCAATGTGCCTTTTATTTTTTCTTTTATTTACGATGGTTATCGTTTTGATGCCATCATCATCACTACCATTATCATTATCATCAAATTTGAATCATTCAGATTTATTAAATGATTCATCATCATCATCAGTGAATAAATCCAAAATAAATATTGATGATATATTTATAACAGTAAAAACAACAAGAATATTTCATAAATCACGTTTAGATATTATCCTTGATACATGGTATACATTGGCAAAAAATCAGGTAAGCAAATCATTGATTTTTTTCCCCGTTAAATTATCATTGATTGTTTTTCACACCTTTTTATTTTTGGTGTGCCCATTTTTAATTTATTAATTACAAACAAGCAATATGGTTTTCTTTCTTTTGAATAATTAATTTTTAATTTTCCTATTTCATTGGTTTCAACAAAAAAACATACAAAACACATGTTATTTGACATAAAGTTGTTAAATTTTTGACCAAAAAATCCTTTGCGGTGTGTGTGTGGTGATTACCACTTTCCAATTCAATTTTTTCAATCAAAATCTCTCTCTGAAATCATCTGAGCTAACTTATCGGTTGATTGAAATTCGATTTGGTTTTAGTTTTCAATAACAACAACAACAACAACAAAAAGGGAAAATGAAAAACTTTTTTTTCGAAACCATAATGACCCATGACCTCAACCAAATGATTCTCCGATTTATTTATCAACATACACATTGCTAATCTGCTTTTTTATGTCGTCAACAACCAAGAATGTTTAAATTCAAAATATTCATTCATTCACTCTCTCTCCCCTCATATCACATTTGATTCGAATGTTGAATATTTCTTCGTTTGGGTCATTTCACCACGACGACTATTGACAACAACAACAACCCCCGAATACCAGAAATGAAATTTATTATCAGAAAAAAGAAGTTTGTTTGACAAACAGTAAAACTCTGTATAGTAGCTTTCGCAAAAAAAACAACGCACGAACATAAACCAAGTCCCGCTTTTTTTTTATCTGATTTGACATTGGAATTAGAAAACAACCACTGAGCGAGTAAAATTTGAAAAATACCAGGAGATTTCCTCCCCCCCGAAAAAACCAAACATTCGAAATACTGTGGTGCATTCGAATGAATTTTGGACTGTCTTTGTGTGTGGTGTTTTCATTTTCAAAAGTATTTCATTTTTTTCTTTTCTTTTTCCATTTCTGTTCACGAGAATGTGAAATGTTTCTGCAATGTCAAACATTTCTCTTTGAACAAAACAAAACAAAAAAATTTCCAGTTTCAAGTTGCAAATATTTGATTGTCAAATCTAATCTCTATCCTGGAACGTTCTTTTTTTTTTGTTTTGTTCCTACTCCCCTACTCATTTTTTTCTTCTGTTGATCGCGCGAGTTTAATTTTGATTTGAAAAATGAAAAAATGCTGCTGCCGTTCTATTGATGTCACGATTGCTACACGATAATATCACAAAGGTCAAAACACTGTTTGGTTATTATTAACCTGAAGACCCAAATAACACCTCAATGTGCTCTTTTTTTTCTACATTCATTTTTTTGGAATTCTTCTTTTGGAAGTTTTTGATTGATTAATAATCAAAACTATTGTGGTCGATTTCTATTGTACAAAAGATTGTCTATTCGGTTATTGATAAAGTTCATAACAAAGTTATCATTGACCCAAACTTGAACCAAATAGTCAAAAAAAAAAGACTATTTGAAATATTGGCACAGGGTCAAAACCAAATGCACGTGCATCAACAAAAGCCTGTTGAATGACTAGACGTGAAAAAAAATTGAAAGTGTACTGGAATGCGATCCAAAAAAGCTAGATAGATTTTGTTCTATAATGACCTCTTTGGTTTATGAACATTTCATTCGAATAACTTTGTCTTCTTCGACGAAAATTCTATAATCTCAAGGGAAACAAAATTATGTCTTGGTTGTTTTTTTACCAAAGAAAATCTTATGAGAATCTTTCAAAACATATGGTAATAGATGAAAAGGGGGTGTAGCAATGTTTGATGCTGGTAAAAAGTTCTCACCAGAACTTTTCTTTTCACTTGATCTTTTTTTCTCTACTTTGTTGTCTATTTTTAACTATTTTATTCGTATGAGATTCTTATGAATTGAATTGAAAAAAAAATTTAAATTTTCTCAAGAATAATCACAACAATTGTTTTGTTTTTTATCCGACCACAATCATTAAATGGCGAATAATTGATTCATTCAAGAGAAAAAAAAGAGGTTCACACACAAACACCAAAAAAAATACAAAAGTTAATTATCATTTTATATTCGATGATAATATCCATAGGAATTGAACTATAGTAGAAAAATGAATGAATGAATGAATGAAATCTTTGGCTGATCGATTGTGTCAATCGAAGATAATGATTGATTTTATGTGAAATCCATAGATTTTTCTTTTTGCTTGGTGGTGGTGGTGTTTAAGATAATTTCACACGGTACCTGTGTGTTTGTGTGTGTTTGATTGATATTTATTTACATAAAAAATAACCACTATTGTGTCATCAATCAATAATGTTGAGGATGATTGAACACAAACACAAACCTATAACTTATTGAGATTATGATGATGATTCTATATACGCTTGAATGCAAGTGTCATCTTTGCTGTGGGATGATCATTTTCGCCAATGAAAAATGTGTGAGAAACAAAACAAAAAATGATGATAATTTACTTTTACTTTCATTATTTTGAAAATGATTTTTTTGTTAAATTTTTTTTAAAAAATGATAATTATTTATCCGGATCAATCTGATTACCTGATGCTTTCCCCCAAAATGATTATTAATTGCTTTTTCAATTGATTTTAATGAATTTGCTATGCTAGTGTCTTTTTTGATACATGGTGATAATGATGATGATTTTAAAGATTCCCACCAATCAATCAAGCAAATACAAAATATTTAGCTCTTTAAATATTTGACAAAATAACAACAACAACAACATTTCTTCATTTACAATTCACACGATTATAATTGATGAGACAGATATTACAATGTTTCAAACAAATCTTGTTGTTGTTGTTATAATTTCATTCAAGGTAGTGTTGACATTTTTTTTTTGTTGATAATTTACTTTACTTATCAAACATTATCTTTAAAAGATTAGTTAAAGATTGATTAACACACAATATACACAATTGACAATTTTCCCATACAATGTAAACATTTACATAAGAAAAAAGAAAATTATCAATGATTCATTTCATTTGATCTGTATGGATGATGTGTGTGAAAAAAATAACATTGTATCAAAAAAAATTGGAAGAAATTCTTCTTTTAAACTCTTTTTTTTTCATTGACAACAACAACGGATAAGAATTGTCACACGACCTAGTTTTGTTGTTGTTGTTATCGTTATCGTTGTGATATTGATTCTTTTTTGATGTCCTAGATAGATATGGTTGTTGTTGTTGTTGTTGTTTTCTGTATGATACATAATGTTAATGGTTGTTTGAAACAACAACAACAACAACAAACCTGTTTATTGATCTCTATTGATCAGTAATGTTGGACAGCAGCAAGAAAATCAAATCATAATTATGAAATGTCAATAATAATTATGGTGAATACAACAGGTTTTTTTGATTGATTCGTTTGTTTTTTTCTTCAATCCAATCTCTTCTCTTACTTTGTTTGACCATAGAATTTTGTGGTTGTTGTTGTTTTTGCCCAAACTTTTATCAATCATCATTAGTCAATCA